CAAGTGCTCTCATCCAAGTGTCTACATAGGAAATTTTACCAGTCAGGATTTAGTTTAGGATATAGAAACTACTGCTGGAATTTTAGGCAAAAAAGGATTTAGTACAGGCACATAAAGGTGCTTACACAGTCATCAAGAGAGCTGGAACAGTGGAAATCAGGGGCCATTTTGGACTTTTGATTTTGAGTTTTCTCCATAGTCATCAAATTGCTGCCACCCATTGTCATCTGTACTGCCTCCACCCTATTGCCTCACACCCTCCCTTCTAGGGATAGACAGGGGACTCCATTGTGCACACTCCTGTGGCCTGCCAGAACACGTTCCCCAAGAAGATGACCTTTGCCTGCTTAAACCCTCCAGGTCTCAGGCAAATGCACCTGACCTACTTAACTGACCACTGGCCTCCTAGCTGCTACAGAATCTGTGGAATGCTGTTTTCACCTTTGAGCCTCTTCTCATAGGAGAAGAGCTACTAGAGGTTGAGAATATCATCTGCTACCTGTGAGGCACTTTATGGAGAGAGGCACTATTCTGAATCCTCACAGGAAGAAGGAATTTCCTGTCTGCATTTAACAGATGTGGAAATGGAGGTTCAGAGATGTGAAGTGAATTGCGGAGATAACAGAGAAGGCAAGGAAGAGGCAGGACTGGTGGTCACAAGGTCAGTCTGTCTGACTCTGGGGCCCCTTCAGCCCTACCACTGGCTTTTTCCTTTTCCTAGGAAGAACCAGCTGCTCCAGCCAGGCAGGTCTCCTATAATCGCTCTTTGAGTAAACCTGCCTCAATGCCCCTCAAAAGATGGCTTGGATTAGAATCTTACAGGACACCTTTCTCCACTGCCAGCCAGGCTGAGTCCTGCCCTCGTCACATTGTCCCTTGGTTACTCACTTTCCTGTTGGTCCTGTCATTGGACTTCGAGAACCTCTACTTAGTCATCTCTGGGCCCACCATGCCCAGCATGTGCTCAGTGCACATCTGTTATTCTTTCAGCATTACTTCAACAATTATTGAGCACCTACTGTCTGCTGGGCACTACTGCTAGGTGCAAGGATCCAGGAGAGAAGGAAACAAAATCCCTGCTCTCATGGAGCTTATGTTCTGTCTGATATGGGAAAGAAAAATGAACAAATAAACACATAGAAGAATTGTCAGGGGAAAAGATGAAAAGTGCTATGGAGAAAAATAAAGCTGGGTAATAAGAGTATGGATAGAGAGTGTTATATGGGGAGAGGGAAGCAACTTTGTTATTATTATTATTATTATTTTGAGACAGAGTCTCACTTTGTTACCCTCAGTAGAGTGCCAGGGCGTCACAACTCAGAGCAACCTCAAATTCTTGGGCTCTACAGATCCTCCTGCCTCAGCCTCTCAAGTAGCTGGGAATACAGGTGCCCGCCACAATACCTGGCTATTTTTAGAGACAGGGTCTTGCTCTTGCTCAGGCTGTTCTTGAACTCATAAGCTCAGGCAATTCACCTGCCTCAGCCTCCCAGAGTGCTGGGATTACATTTAAACAGAGATCAGAATACAGTGAATACAGTGAATTGTGTGGCTGAGGGACATGAATAAATGAATGCAGGCATGCTTGAGTGAGTTGGAAACCTAACTTGGAGAAAAAAAGGGAATATGGAAGGAGGAGTTGGAGGTAAGGTCCTCCTGACCTCCAGCGTCTTTCCTTTTCTTCTATTAAAAAAATAACCAATTAATTTTGATGTCTTGTTTTCTTAGACAGGATGTAGAGATTGGTTATATGTATATAGTCTAGATATGGAATGGTCTCCCTGTCTCTGTTTATCCAAAATAGACTGGATATTATTATAGGATATTGTAATTGTTAATTTTCTTCATATTGTGATTATAGAGAAAAATGTTCTTTTCCTTAGGATTTGCTAAAGTATTGAGGGAAGATGTACTAGTAAGGCAGCAAGTTACTTTTAAATAACTTAGCAAAACAGATTTTTAACATATGAACATAGATGAATCTGGTAAAATAACAATGACCCAGATGGAGATTGTACGGGTATTCCTTATAAATTTCTTGAAATTTCATTCTTTCAACTTTTCTTTATATATATAATTTTTTATGTAAGGCAGGGTCTCCTTCTATTGTCTAGGCTAGAGTGCAATGGTATCATCATAGTTCACGGTAACCTCAAACTCCTGGACTCAAGTGATTCTCCTGCCTTAACCTCCAAATAGCTGGGACTATAGGTGCCTATTGCCACATCTGTTTTCCTATTTTTGTAGAGATGGGATCTCTGGAGTCACTTCAAGTTGCCCAGGCTGGTCTTGAACTCCTGTCCTCAAGTGATTCTACTGCCTCAGTCTCCTAAACTGCTGGGATTACAGGCCTGAGACACTATGCTCATTTTTTCCCAACTTTTTTATGTGTGAAAAATGTTTCCTAGATAGGAGCTTGGGGTTGGGGGCCAAACACAGAGTATTTTTATAAGTCACATTATTCCAGCTAGTTTGGTTTTACTTGCATGATCTCACCTAATCCACACCCCATCCCTGTGTGGTGGGCAGCCCTGGGCCCTTGAAACAGACAGATAAGTGACTTGCCCTAGGTCACAGTTAGGAGAGGTCAAGTCAAGATCTGAACTGACATTTATCTGCATCAAAATTCTCTGCTTTCCCATTTTGTTGTTGAAGTCTCTTCCCATATTTCTCAGGGGTGTTGGATTAGGTGAGAGCTATGTGCATTTACTTACTTTGTGCCAGGCTTTGGTGCAATATTCATGTATTACTCAAATCCTCACAACTCAATGAGGTTGTAACTAATAACATTCTACCAAGGCACAGGGAATTTAAGTAACTTGCTTAAGATTACACACCTAGGCTTGGCACCTGTGGCTCAAGTGGCTAAGGCACCAGCCATGTACACCTGAGCTGGAGGGTTCAAAGCCAGCCTGGGCCCAACAAACAACAATGATGGCTGCAACCAAAAAATAGCCAGGTGTTGTGGTGGGCACCTGTAGTCCCGGCTACTTGGGAGGCTGAGGCAGGAGACTCGCTTGAGCCCAGGAGTTGGAGGATGCTGTGAGCTGTGATGCTACAGCACTCTACCCAGGGTGATAGCTTGAGGCTCTGTCGCAAAAAAAGAAAAAAAAATTACACACCTAAGAATGGTAGACCTGGAAGTCAGAGCAGGTGGGCAGTCTGGCTGCAGGGCCTTCATTTAAAGTGTCACAGAGGCTGGTGCACCCTAACCCTGTTACCTTAGCACTCTGGAAGACCAGGATGAGAGGAATGTTTGTGTTTAGGAGTTCAAGGAGACCAGCCTGAGCAAGGTGAAACTCTGTTTCAACTAAACATAGAAAAATTAGCTGGGCATGTAGCCCATGCCTGTAATCCCAGCTATGAGGGAGGCTGAGGCAGGAGGATCACTTGAGCCCAGGAGTTTTAGGTTGCAGTGAGCTGTAATGACACCACTGCACTCTAGCTGGGGCAACAGAGGAAGACTGTCACAAAACAAAACACTGTAAAAAGGATAAATCACTTTGGGAACAGAAATCAGGGTTATCATAGAGTGTCATAGAAACCCCCTCTCCTCTTCACTGTTCCTGGCGCTAAGTTCCTACCTTCAGTGCCCTAGGTTCAGATGTGTCTACATGGGGGATTTACACTTCAGCTGGCCACTCCTTGAAGACAGTACTAGTACTCACCATGAGCCCCCTAAGGTTCTCCAGACTGAGGGTGATCTTTAAGCATTGCTCTGGATATGGTCTCACACTAAGGTGATGGGGGTAGGATGGCAATTTGTCTGCATGATGAGAATTAGGGGCCAGATGGAATACTGAAAGTGAGGGAGAGAGAGAGGTAGCTTCATATTGACAACTGTCATCATTATGCCACCTCTGATTCTGTGGGATGTGGACCTTGCCTAGAGCTACAAGTTCATTCTTATTCCTCTCCTTATTTCACCAGGTCTTAACCACAGTGGATTGGGATTTAACTTGGTGACAGAGCTGGCCTTTTCCTACCTCAGGGCCTTTGCATTGCTGTTCTGTCCTGGTCTGAATGCTCTTCCTCCAGCTTATACTACAGCTGACTTTCTTTCCTTCCCTCCTTTCTTTTTTCTGAGATCGTTTCATTTTGTTGCCTTTGGTAGAGTGCCCTGGCATCTTCACAGTTCATAGCAACCTCAAACTCTTGAGCTTATCAAGTGATCCTCTTGCTTCGGCCTCCCAAATAGCTGGGTCTACGGGCGGCCAGCACAACACCCGGCTATTTTTTAGAAACAAGGTCTGGCTGTTGCTTACACTAGTCTTGAATTCTTGAGCTCATCGGCTCATCCGCCTCTGACTTCCAAAGTGGTAAGATTACAGGCCTGAGCCCCCACGCCTGGCCAACAGCTGGCTCTTTCTTATCACTTAATGTCTCAGCTCATGTCATCTCCTCAGTGAGGCCTTTCTTGACCACTTATGCCCGTCTGCAAGACGTTGTCCTGTTTTATTGTGTTCCTACCAGTTATTAGTACCTGATACTACTAATTGATTTGTTTCTCCTCTCACATGAACGTAACTCCAAGAGGACAGTTTTAACTGTTTTGTTCTTTGCAGCACCCCCAGCGCCAACAACTGTGTCCGATATTCAATAAAATGGTGCATTGAATGAATGAACTGGGATGTATGCTAGGCCGAACCTCCATGCCTTGCAATCCTGGTTCTGCCGCAGTGGGCAAGGAGATGGGTCAGACTTTGAAGATGACTCTTAGGCCCCCCGGCGCAGGGGCACCGGAGCACAGAGTACTTGACAGACGCTGGGCGAAAGCCTGGGCGGTGGCCGCGCTGGGAGAGGGGCTGTCGCCATTTGGCTACGTTCCACGTGGGCCGCCGCGCCGCCGCGGGAGCCGGACGGGTGGTCGGCAGAGAGCGCGCGCACGCGGGTCTTTTGCGACGGTGCCCGGTAGCGCTGGCCCCGCCCCCTCGCGCGCTCGCCCCGCCCGGCCCCCGCTGCTGCGCTAGCTTGGGGCCGCTCTGGCCCCCGCCCGCTTCATGTGGCCCGGCCCGCGGCGGCCGGCGGCTGGGAGCGGAAGGGCGGCGGCGAGTGGCGGCCTGCGAAGCCCGGGGGGCAGTGGCCGAGGCCCAGGAGGCGGCGGCGGCCCAGGAGGCTGCGGACGGGGAGCGGCGGGAGCGGGCCGGGGTGGGCCTTGGAGCGGCCGCCGGGCTGCAGCATGCGCGCCCGCCGGGGGCTGCTGCGGCTGCCGCGCCGCTCGCTGCTTGCCGCGCTCTTCTTCTTCTCGCTCTCGTCCTCGCTGCTTTACTTCGTCTATGTGGCGCCCGGCATAGGTAGGAAGGGGGCCTGGGACCCCAGTGGTTGTCGCCCTGGCCTTGGAGGGACTCAGGGAATCCCTGCCCCTCCCCGAGAGGCCCTGGCGCTCATAGGACCCCCTGCTCAGCCCGGCGGCAACCCCGACCCTCATCCTCGGGAGAGGGGGTTGCCTGGCCCTTGAGGAGGCCCACGCCGGCTTTTGGGGCTCTAGGACATTACCACCCTCTGCGCCCCGACAGGCCCCCGAAATCCTCCACTCCGCCAGCCTCCGGTCCACCCCCTAACCTCCTAACCCTGTCTCCCTCCATCCCTAACCGCATTGCCTTCCAAACCCAACGGTGCCTTCACACCCCGCCTTGGTGCTGGGGCCCCCTCCTTTCCCGCTCTTGGCTCTTTGGAACCTTCACTTCCCGCTCCTTGGCCCGAGAACTCCCGCTTTTCCTCCCCCGGGGTCTTCTGGAGCCCCCGTTCCCGGCATTCCCCGCACCCTGAGCCCCTGCGGCTCTCCCGCCCCTCCTCGCTCAGGCCCCTCGCCTGGGTCTAGAGGCCCCCAGCCTTCGCGTTTTCCATCCTTCCTTTCTCGCCCTCCCGGGTTTCTAAACCGTTTCCCGCTCCCGTTAGCCCCCCTACCTCCTCTTTCTCCCCACCACTTCCCGGTGTTACAGCCATCTCCAGGTTCTCCTCCCCCAGCACATTCTCCGCGGGAAGTGGCCGATCGGATCCCTTGCGTCGCCGGGAGGCACTCCCTGTTATTACCGAGGTCCACTCCTCATTCAATGTCCTGCTAACCCCTCTGCGCGCCCCTGCCTTCTCCACATCTGTTACCTGCCCCGCATGTCACCGATGGCCCCTCTTGTCACCTCCGCCCCCAACCTCCTGTCCTCAGCCACTGCTTTCTCCTGAATGGAAGACTTGGAGAAAGGGTGCTGCCCGTGCTCTTCCTTTCTCCCACTTTGGCCCTCTCCTAGCTTTAAGGGTAGGTGCCTGCCCTGGGGACCGAGGGGAAGTTTAAATGGACCCTAGAGGAGGGATGTGACTACCGCCTTTTGGGAAATGCTGCCAGGTGGGAAGGGAGAGCATGGAGAAAAGATGGAATGGCTGGCTACTCATTCTTAAAGTCTTATCCTTTAAAGGAAAGACAGCCTCCGGAGAAACGAACCCTCCTCCAGCATAGACTTTGTAAGACCACAGTGAAGACAGGGCATGAGGAAATCTGGAAGGAAAGAGAGCGTGAAGATTAAGAGCAGAGGACGTTGAGGTCAGGCTTGGATTCCACTCCCTGTCCTATATGACCTTGGGCAGGTTATTAAGCCTCAGCTTTTCAAGTCTGTAAAATGGGGGTACTAGTCCCAGTCTCATAAGGTTTTTAAGGATGGAAGTAGGTAAATTCCCTTTAAAGCACTTTTCACTATACCCGATGCATGGAGAGTTTTAAAAATAAATAAATGCAGCCATTAAATGTAACTTTCAAGAGAGATGGGAGTAGGTTGAAGATTTAAGGAATGTGTTTGCCTGACTTGGCATTACCATGGGCCTCTAGAGAAAACCTTCGTTTTTGGTGAAAAATGACCAGGAGATGCTGTTGGAGGTTGGGTAGAGAGAGTAAATTCTATAAAAATTCTGGGTTATTTGGATATTAGGAAAGGGTTGATGGTTTAGCTGTAGGGAGCTGCCTTTTAGGATTGTAGTAATAATTAGTGCCATTCTCTGTTGACCTGTCAACTCTGGACTAGCTGAATAGAGAAATTTCCAGATAGAGCAGGAGATTCTCCCTGATCATGTATTTTAAAGCATAATTTATGTGATGGTTGATATTCTGTAGTCAACTAGATCTGGGAAGATAGAACAGGCAACATCAGATTGCTCTAAGTTTGCAAGTGTCTTAGTGAAAAGCATCCCTCTAGGAAGGTACAGTTTGTGGCCTAGTGGATTTGATTGAGTAGTTTATAAAAGGATAGGAATTCTGACAGGACAAGAACAGATAACTAGTGAAACTAATTGAGAAAAGAGTTCATTAGCATACTGGACATGAGACTCTAATAAAAATGGATGTGAAATGAGGGATTTGGACCTAGAGGCAGCCTTAGAACAAATAACTCCTTTTTTCTTCTATGAAAGAGACAGGTACTTCTGATCTGGGTCTATAAATCAGCTTATCTAAATGGAAAAATATATCCCACTGGGATTGTAATCACCCTTTTGATTAGAAAAGTTAGAAGTCATTCTACAAGAGAAATGAACTTGCCAACTTAATTAAGATTCCTCAACCCTAGATTTTTAGGTCACTGGAACCCCTTTGTAGAATGATGTGGTGTGACTACCATGCTTAGAATCCTGTGTCACTGATCATAAAAAACATGCAAAGCATTTAGATGTTCATTAGGACCATGTCTCCTTAAATGTTTGTCTTCTAAAGAGCAGTTCTAGGGAGGATTCAAATTTTGTTCTTGGGAAAGAGGAATAGGAAAAAGGATGAGGAGTAATTTTAGAGTTCATACAGACAGAGTTACCTTTAACTATTAGGAGATTATCTTGGTTTTTCTGTTAATGAACTTAAGTTTTCAAATGTCTAGCTTCGAATAATGAGGTGGCAGATCTTTTCAAAAGGTTAAGGCAATTTGGAAAATTAAAAGGGTTTATGTGTCATGGGATATGAAAACTTTATCTAAAACAGTTATTAAAATGATCTTAGGAAATAATAGTTGGTTCAACCATATGAAATTTCTGTTTTTGCAGGTCAAAAACAATTGTAGGTCTTTTACAAGATAACAGGAGTGCGCTGTTTATAAATACATATATGAAGTGCTGATTTAAAACATCTTAATAAGTTTATGGTGCCATCATATGGTAAGGTTGTAGATAGGTTACTGACCTTGTAAATTGTTGCCTTTGTAAACAGTTACCAATTTTTTATTTTTTTATTTTTGAGACAGAGCCTCAAGCTGTCACCCTGGGTAGGGTGCTGTTCTGTCACAGCTCACAGCAACCTCCAACTCCTGGACTCAAGCAAGTCTCCTGCCTCCGCCTCCCAAGTAGCTGGGATCACAGGCACCCGCCACAAGCCTGGCTATTTTTTTGGTTGCAGCTGTCGTTGTTTGGCGGGCCCGGGCTGGATTCAAACCCGCCACCTTAGGTGTATGTGGCTGGTGCCTTAGCCACTTGAGCCACAGGCACCGAGACAACAGTTACCAATTTTGAGAGAGATGCCTGTGCACTGTTAGGGACAATTGCGGGAGCAAAAACAATTGTATCAGCAGCTTCATATATAGTTCAATCTAATACATTTTCTAATAATGAAAATTCTGTTTTCTGGCACAGTGGAAAGTGTCAGACTTGTATTTCCTTCCAGGTTTAATTTTTTCCAGTCCTGGCTTTTGATTTGCTTTGTATACCCTGTGGCTATGTTGTACTCAAAGGCTATGGAGAAACCGTCACTCCAAGAGTGATATTGCAACTATGTTCAGAAATAGGCAGACTCGAATTTGAAATAAGAGAAAAATCATTTTAGTTACAAATGTTTTAAAATTGTTCAAAATTTGAGCCTGATCACTGACTTAGTATTTTTGAGATCTAAGGCCAATTCTTTTTTTTTCCTTCGAGACAGTGTCTCACTCTGTTGCCAGGCTAGCGTGCCGTGGTGTCAGCCCAGCTCACAGCAACCTCAGACTCCTGGGCCCAAGTGATCCTCCTGCCTCAGCCTCCCAAGTAGCTAGGACTACAGGCACCTGCCACAATGTCTGACTAGTTTTCTATTTTTAATAGAGATGGGGTCTCTCGTTCAGGCTGGTCTCAAATGCCTGAGCTTAAGGAATTCTCCTGCCTCAGCCTCCCAAGAGTGCTAAGATTATAGGTGTGAGCCACCTAGCTCAGCCCTTAATATCAATTCCTAGTATCAGTAACCTATAGTTTAAGAGGAAAGGAGAGTTTTCTTGGATTGGATGGCTGTCTGTGAAATGGGGTACCATCTGACCCAGGAAACAAGATAGGAAAATTACTAAATACAACTTTAGCATGTTTGTAGCAAATACAGAGTGCCCTTAGCTATTGTAATATTCTCATACCAATCCAGTTAATATTTTTAA